CCGACCCAAACAAACAGTTCCTTTCTAATAATAGTGGCCGAGATTGCCGATTTTAGCAATGCACGACAGAGCACAATTAATTTAGAATTGAAATTGAAGTCCTGACATTGACTTTGGCTCAGGATTTTTTGTTCGAAAACGCACTGAGCAATTCTTTTATGACGAGTTGGAGAGGGTCATGTTTTTCAATTCTCTCATTTTTGATACAGACGCGACGGAAAAATAAGTTTTTGGTTTAGTCTGAGTTATACGGCACTTGCAAGACAAATTTTATAAATAGGTCGTATGTGCCGAAAATTAGAGGAGTTACCCGGGAGTAACGTACAGTGAAAAGAAGGAAAAGTGATAAAGACAATAGATATTTGATAGGAAAGAAGGAACAAACCATACCCAGAGCACCCGACAACCACTCACTGAAAAACCAGAAAACTCCGATGGAGTTGTAGTCCAAGCAACTTTTGCAGAATGTCTGAAAAGTGGTGAAGAGCTTTCTTCATCTTGGAGGAAAGATGCAGCTCTAGAGAAACGAGATCGTGGACGTCAGTTGTAACTATACAAAGTAATATTGATGAGATGCATCTATATCATGCAGAGAGTTGATTTCTACCACCTAGTTCAAAGTGTTCAACGATACAAAGTAGGCCTATGTTTTGTTTGGATACTTTGTTCATGACACTGTTTTATGGCGGTGTTTTAGTGTTGTCGAAGTGCAGTGAGTCTTTTCCTGCAAATTTTAATTTGTTTTCTTTCCAAGTCAAAGTATTCAATTAATGTTTAGTTAGTTGGCGTGTTTTTAATCAGGGAGAGGGTTTGGAACAAAGTAAGCTATGCCACAACAAATACAAATACAAAACTGGTCCCATTTGAGTTTCTTTCTATTCCCATACGTTTATGTTCTCGTAATAGTTTACTTTCGAACAACAGTGTGGAGAAAGATTCGTGGTGCAACTTATCCTCAAATATCTCATTAACGGGTGACTCAATGTCACCGATACTTTGTACAGTAGTTTGTATCAATTTGTCTTAACTTATATATTATATATAAGCATATATGCAAATCTCCCTCGCACGGAAAATGGAAGTTCAGTGTCTTTACAGCATTTCCTGTTTCTCACACACATTTTGCTCAAGTGTGTGGCCTACGCCACAGCTCACCCATGACGCTTTTTAGTAGTAAAACTTTAGCCCACGCATAGATACGATCTCCTGACAAATGACAAATGAAATTGTAAAGAATTTCTGCTCATACTTCATAGCTGGTCTGATGAGAAGTAGCATGATGTCGAGGAGGAATCGTAGTTGTATACTGCAACAGGTAGATGACTCGCTTTTGATGACGTCATTCTTGGCTTTATTTGATACCGGTAGAAATGTGCGATTCGTCAAACAATTTAAACAGATTATCACAAACAACTCTCAATATATACTCAGGGGCAAAAGAAACGCGAATAATTAAAGCACGAATAAAATACATTACACTTAACAGCAACACGGGTTTGTGATGAGCAGATGAAAGTCTAATTCGTCCAATTTACTCAGCCAAGAGAGTGCCAATAGGTGGCTGTGTTACTGTAGTTTTTGCCTTCCTTTGTTATTTCTGTAACTTTGACCTCGGGGCATATTGAGAGTAACGTAGTGACCTCCGTTGGCTGCAATTACAGCTGTGCATATTCGACCCAGAGAATTTATGTGAGTGTTTATTTGTCGACCTGGGATCTGTACCCATACCTGGCCGATAGTCGAAGCCAATTGAAGAGCTATCCGTGGCGGGGGTTGCAGCTGGTTAAGCTGCCTCTGAATAGCGTCCCGAACGTGCTCGAATGGGACTTAAGTCAGGTGAACGAGCCAGGCAAGGCAAAAGATTGATGTCGATCTGCCTCAGGAATTGCTGTATTACGCGGGCATTATGAGTTCTCACGTTGTCTTGCGGGAAAAATAAAATTAGACGCCTCTGGAAAAAGGGCACCACATTGGGCTGAAGAACTTGGTCAATGTAGCGCTGAGCTGTAGTTACACCATTTCCTTGTCCATGACCCACTTTCTGGAAGAACACTGGTCAAGTTTTTTGATTCAGAGCGAAGGCTCCCTAAACCACGACGCCTGAGCCTCCCCTGGAGTCTCTCTCCACGACGTTGCCATCAACGTAGCACGTCAGGTCTACGCGCCACAAACAGATGCACCCATTTGACGGATCAAGACAGAATCCGCGCTTGTCGGTGAATGGTATCCTTCTCCATTGTCTGTACCTCCAGTTCACGTGAGTCTGTGCCTACAGAAGCAGGTCACGACGGTTGCTGACGGCGGGTCCAAGGCCTGCGACTTGGCTGTCTGTACCGGAACACGTGGAGTGCAATCTCTGCCGTACGGTTCAGGTACTCGGGGCCCGTCCCGTTCATCTGATGGTGTTCCTGATGGTCTTGGTGGCTGTCAGAAACGGATCCATCCAGCATTGGTGCACCGTAAGGCGATCCTAAGCTGTAGTTGTCGCCCTTGGTCTTCCAGTTCGGGGGAGATCACTGGTTGCTTTTATGGTGCGAAACCGGTTCAGTAGACTGTGGTTGGTTGATGCATGCACTGTCACTTTTGCCACATATTAAGCAGTCTCGCCAGCCAGTAGTCGTCCAAAAAAATACACCCCTCATAGTTTTCTGATGAAAATCTCAGCATCTTGAAACTGATTTCGTTTCCAACGGAATTCCATATTCCGAGGCCTCAAACAAGTAGGCCAGGCCTAGGTGACCTTATGAACACAGACTCACTACTCGAATGATGTGACAAATGGGTACCCATCAGCTGTGATAGTTGTTTAGTTGTTTGTTGCATAAGTGACCAAGCAACCCTAGGGGCGGTGCCACTGACTGTAGTGTCTTTAGGCCATTCCCAAAGGAGGGACATTTCTCGTTCATGCACAGTAAAATAGTAAATGGGCTGATTCATCCATGTCACGCTCATAACTGTGCCTGGTCTACAACAGGGAACTGCTGCTTTTTCTTTCCTAATCCTTACTTTTGTCGTTTTCCTCTAATTCTTTTGTATATTTGTCACACTCTTGTGACCTGCTATTTCCGGGGTGCCTTGATAGTCGAAGCAGACTTTGTGCTGTTGAAGCCAGAGAGGTGAGCAGAGCAAGTCTGATTCCCTGTAAAGACTTCTCTGTTGACACCAACCCCTTGGCGCTCATATGACCTTATGCAGTTGCGAGCGCCGTAAAACCCTCTACTGAATAAAAAAAATGAATAAGTGACCAATCAGGGCCTTACTCTGTTCGAATGGTGAAATCTAGCCGGTTCAGACCATTATCCAATTAAATCTGTATACAATACTCACTAATGGAAACTTTGGCCAGCGCTTCAGGCTAGGCGCGCACAGGGCAATTTTAGTTGCTATACACCGCGCGCACAGAGCTAACAGGCAACAGTCGGCTATCATCGTTTACTGACTTCCTCAT